GGTCCGGGAATTTTCGTTCTCCGGACAAACAAGGGGTTGAATGATTTACTTAGGAACTTTGCTTTGTTACAGATTTTATCTACTATTTCAAGACTAACAAGCACATTCTAACCATTAAATTTTAAACATAACAGAGGCTAGGGGAATAAATGAATTTTGAATCATACAATCCCACAATGACCTCTGGTTATTCTTCTCTTACACTATTAATATTTTCTTACTGATACATGAACTTTCCCTATGCAATAAGGATAGATATCCTGTCAAACTGTATTTGTTACAAGTGTTTCCCCGTTTATTTGATTAATTCTTTTTGCTCGTATTTTGATGTGCAGAAAATGTTTACTTTTGTAAAAAAGTTAAAAAGTCAGATCTGTTGGCATTCTTAAATGGAAAGAAATTTATCAGAAGGATAGTAGTTAGCTCACAGAAATTTAAAAAGATGTCTGGCAGAAACCAGTGCAACTCTGTGGGTCTTAGGAAATAAAACTACCCTCAGGATTACCTAGCCTCTGTCTTTCTGTCTCTCCTCTATGTTATCCCTTGTGATCTCTATTTGGCTTCACATACTTCCACCACAGGCTTTCTCCTGATTGAAAACCTTCTAGCTTCTGTATGCAGAGAGGCCAAGAGGATGTATCTTCTGATAGAAAAATTGTGAGGAAAGATTCTGCCTGGTTGAGTCTTATGTTCATCTCCAGAACTAATACTGGTGCTAAGAAAGTTAAGATAATTAAGAATTCTGATTTACCAGCTAAAAGGTATGTAACCAAAGGGAAAAGAGAGTCACTAACCCAAAGGAAAGAGTTGAATAAGGTGCTGAGCAAAGAAAAACAAAAACAAAACCAATCGTTTATTTTAGGTTTTTCCTTAGTAGTTTCCTGGACTAGTTTGACGCTTCTTTCTTTATCCTGAAATTAATATATTTCCCTCTGAGTTTCATGATCTACATTTAGCTTTCCCTTCTCCAGACCCCTTCATTCTTTTCTTCCAATATACACATCATCATTGCCTATACTATGGCTAGCTCAAGCCCCCATGTCTTCATGTCTATTTCCCTTAGCTCAACACACACATGCTCCCTTATTCCATTTCATACTACATGCCATCACTAAGTTAATACTCCCAAGCCCCACACCCATCCCTTTGATGACACTGTTGCACTCAAGGCAGCCTCCCCACCCCACTCACCACACAGGAAATGACCACGTGCTGATTCAGGCTCCCTTGGATGAATCACAATGAAGGATTACTTCACGCAGCCCTCACAACTCTGCTTGGCAAAAATAATCTCTGAGATTCAAAAAAGTTAAAGCATTAAATACACAATTCTCACATGTGGCATATTTCTCATATGTAGTACAGTTGAGAAACTATCTCTATTCTGCCTGAATCCTTACACAAGAAATCAACTAACATGCAGTAGACAAGCCTCAGAGCAGGGTCTGAATACCCAACCATTTTCAAATTTTTGCAACATCTCTTTGCCATCTCTCAATCCCCAACTTTAATCAAATTTGTCTACTTATCTCCCAGTCCTACCACCACTACTCCCAATACTGAGCTTCTCTTTTGCCTTTGTATATTTTTACTTGTGCTATTTCTTACCAAGCAAGAAGTTGCCTTCTCCCTCCTTCTCACGTACAGCTGGTCCCTGTTATCTGCTATGGTTTCAGTTACCTGCAGTCAATTCAGTTCTGAAAATACTGAATGAAAGAGTCCAGAAATAAAAACTAATATGCTTTAAATTACTAGACATTCTGAGTAATATCATGAAATCTTATATCACCCCTCTCCATCATTCCTGGAACATGAATCATCACTTTTGTTCAGCATTTCCACGGTGTATACACTATCAACCTATTAATCACTGAGCAGCCATTCAGGTCAAGAGATCAATTACCATAGTATGATAGTCCCTGCGTTCAAATAACCCTTATTTTATTTAATGATGTCCCCAAAGTGCAAGAGTCATGGTGCTGGTAGTTTTATTAAAGTACAAGCGTATTTTTAGAATTGTCCTATTTTATTGTTAGTTATTATCATTAGTTTTTCACTGTGCCTAATGTATAAGCTAAACTTTATCACAGGTATTTATGCACAGGAAAAAACACAGATATAGTATAGGTTTGGTATTGTCCCCAGTTTCAGACATCCACTGGTGGGGTCTTAGAATGGCTCCTCTGTCGGGAATAAGGGATTGGGGGATAAGAGGTCACCTCCCCTAAATTTCTGCTCAATTTCACCCTTTCTGTAGTTTTCTTGATTATCCCACAAAACAATATTTCTTCTCAAATACCTAAAATGTTTGATATCCATTGATTATTTTTACCACCTGTTTATGTTATAACTTTTGACCATTCTGCCAACTAGAATTTGAGTCTCATGTGGTCTAGCTCATGATTTATATTTCTTTTTTTTTTATTAGTACATGTCTGCAGAACATAACAATTGCATTTACCATGGGGAGTTTGTACATGTACATAGCACATCTTAATTCTTTTTTGCTCCCTCCTCCTTCTATCCTTTCCTACTCCCACATATTCTTGTTCCCCTTCCCATCTGAAAAAAGCTCTATTTCCATTTATTCAATCCCTTTTCCCTTCCTCCCCTCTCCTCCTCTCTCTCTCCATCTCTTCTTTCCATTCCCATTTGAAAAAGATCTCCTTACTTCCTACTATCAATCCCTTATTTTTTTCTTTATTTATGTTTTGAGTTTCTCATATAAAAGAAACCATGTGATATTTAAAATTGTTTATTTGATTTAACATTTTATTATGGTCATGATTTATATTTCTTTGCATTCCCCATATGTTTAATTTAAACCCTTTTAAGAAGTTAGTCAATACTTGTTGAACCACATCCTCCTCTAAACTGCTGTATTGGGAGTCCTAATACTTTTGAAAGTTTTCCCCCCTTGGCAAAATATTCATTTGATTTTAAGTCTTTCAAATCTTTGGGCTTTCTTATTAGGATCAGTGATTTTCATGAATGCAGATAATAATTGTAAAATTTTGAGATTATTGATAAATACATTGAGAATTTTTCACTAGCATATATGTAGTTTACTTTGTAATAAACATCCAGAAAGAATTTACTACTAAATTCCACTGTATAGGAGGTTTTATTAATATAACTCAAAAATAGCTATTAGGGCTGGGGATTTAGCTCAGTGGTTCCACCGCCTTCCTCGCAAGCACAAGGTTCTGAGTTTGATCCCTGGTACCAAAAACAAAAAACAAACAAAAATAGTTTTTAGCATCTAAAAAGACAGGAAATCAATTTTAGAGGACATTAAACTTTTTACCTCATTGCTATTCACTTTCTAGTAGATTTTACAATATTATTTTACATAATAAATAGAACTTACTGGAAAAAGTTTTTTGGAGAATGTGGACATCACCTAAACTCTGATTTATACAGGATGGGGAGTGGAGCATCTGTTTAAACTGACATTGCTTTGAAAGTTGCATGAAACTTCAGAGATGATAAATGTTTACACTTTGCATCCACATTGTTACTAACACAATAGCCTATTAAATCCCTTGCCGGGAATGTGAGCACACTGCAGGCCATCCACATTATTTATCAAGGGGGGGAAACATTATTCACAAATTTTAATTGCTCCTGTGGCACCAAAAGGCTGAAAATGAAACATAAAAATGTGGCCTTGGGGAAGTTCTGCTGTGCATTGACTTTAGTGCAAACCTGACTGGAGGGACCAATGCCTCTATTACAACTGCCCAAGGGCCTGAATAAAACAAGTTAAAGGTTTCAACCCTGGCTGGCCCTGGTGGACAGTTGGCATATTTTAAAACTCATTTTATCCACTGTAAACTCAACTTCTACACATGACCCAAAACAAAAAAAGCTAGAGACCCTGCTGGTATGGACACTGTATTTCATGCACATCCTCAAGATGAGTTTTCTAGGTCAAGGTTCAAATACTTTGCTAAATACTAGAAGAAAAAAATGTTGTCATAGTCTCCTTATGTAGAGAACTTAAACCTCTACTGTTGCAAAATGAGCATCAAATGTGCTTTTAAAACTTTTAAGTTACAATAAAATATAGTTTTAGGAAAAAAATCAATTTTAAGGAAAAATAAAAGTATTAGAAGGATTATTTTTTTTCCACCTCAGAGTCATTCACATTTTCTCAAGGACCTGAGAGAAAACTTTTGGCAGAGAAATTTACAATTAGATGCTCAATTACAATTGGCTCAGCTAGCCAATAGGTTGCCTAGAAAATTAAGCTGCCCTTCTTGCACTCTAAGATTAAAAGATTTGAAAAAAAATTTTTAAAGATTTGCAAAGGAGAAGAGAGTTGGCAGGCTGGGGATTTAGCTCAGGGGTTTCGCCGCTTGGTGCAAGGACCTGAGTTCAATCCCTGGTACAAAAAAAAAAAAAAAATCCTGAGAAGAGAGTTGACAGTAGACAGAGTGAAAGCATCAAATTGGAGAAGAGATCTTTGGATTCAAACAGAGGCCATTTACCATGATAACCTTAAAACCCTAGAAATATTCATCCCAGATTTGCTCTGCCTATAGCCCTCCCATTGAAGACAACACCACCTTTCTGGTAGCACAGGCCAATCTTGGAGTCAGGTGGCACTGTCTTCAAAAATGTGTCCTAAACCCAGTTGTTTCTTGTCATCCTGCTTCTTTTTCTGCCTCCTACCGTCAATTCTTAATTCCTTTGGAATATCACTGCTTTGCTTAAAATTTAGGGATGACTTTTCATTTCATACAGAGTAAAGCTAACATCCTCTAAGTGCTAAGTAAAGCTCTGCAGGATCTGCTCCCATCTTAGCCTTCACCTTGCAATCATTGCCCTTCCTGGAACTCTCTTCCCCTGATAGCCACTTGGCTAATTCTGGAACCTCCAAATCTTTGCTCAGACATTGCCTTCTAGATCAGGCTATCCTGACCACTAGGTTTAAAAATAAAGCTTACCCTAAACCCCTGTGGTTAATACCTTCATGACCCTATTATACCCTTGTTTTTGGTTGGTTTATTTCTTATATGGTGGTAACACATCTAGGACACTGTATAAATTATTTATTTTATTACTTTTATTGTTTAATTTTGGTGTCTTCTCTATAGAATGTATAAATTCGAGAAGCAGGGACCTACATATTTTTGGCTCACTTATGTATCCCAGACATTTAGAATAGCACCTGAAACATAGTAGAAGCTAAGTAATTATTTGTCTGATAAATAAACAAATGAGTTCATTTTTAAATTTTTTTATTAGTATACATCTGTGATACACATGATTATATTCATTTTAGGGAACTGATACATATACATATTGGATTTTGATCATTTTTACTCCTCTTCTTCCTATCCTTCCCTTTTCTCCTTTCCCAGATTCCCCTTCCTATGTCAAAAAAAAAGCCCACCTTGGCTGGGGATTTAGCTCAGTGGTTCCACCACCTGCCTCGAAAGCACAAGGACCCGACTTGGATCCCCAGTACCGGAAAAAAAAAAAAGCCTACCTCTCTGTTTCTTACCATCTCTCCTTTATTTTGCTCTTTAATGTTTTGAATTTCTCACAGAAGAGAAAGCATATGATGTTTAACCTTCTGTATCTGATTTATTTCACTTAGCATTATACTGTAGTTTGAAGACCTATTTTCTTACAAATGACTCAAATTTACCCTTCTTTTTGGCTGAGTAGTACTTCATTGTGTATAAATACTACATTTTAATGCCTTCTGCTTTACCCTTTTTCCTCAGGGTTGCCATATTAGTTAAGGTTCACTAGAGAAGTGATCAATATAAAATATATGTATAATTATACAATGGATTTATTAGGCAGACTTACAGGAGCAGAAGGGGAAGAGTCCCAGGGGTTATCTGTAAAATCAGAGGTGGAAGACCAAAATGCCTATCTGTGCACTGGAGACTTGGAGAATCAAAGATCAAAGACCAGAAGCTCACTGTAGGGAATGGTGTGAAGGCCAAAGAGTCTGAACTGAAAGGATGAAGGGTCTCTGCTAGATACCAATGTCCAAAAGCAATGGTGAAGATCAGAGCTCCTCCCCAAAGAGAAAAACATTTCCTTCTTCCTTCCCTTTTTATTCTTTCTAAGCTACCAGCCAATTAATTGGTGCCACTCACATCTGGGGTGGGTCTTCCCCTTTCAGTTTGCTTGCCTAAATGTCAATCATCCACAGACACACCCAGAATGTATTAATCTGCTAGGCAGTTCTTACTCAGGTTAAGTTGACATATCACAATGAACAATCACAATTGCTTTGACTATTAAGTCTCTGATTCTACATAAGTTTTAGATTTTTTTTTTTTTTTAGTTCTGTAAAGAATGTTGTTGGTATTCTGATTGGAATTGCATTAAATCTATATATAATTTTTAGTCATATGGCCATTTTGATTCTGCCTCTCCAGAAACAGGAGATGTCTTTCCATTTTTTAATGTCCCCATTAATCTCTTTTTTCAAAATACTATAGTTTTTATTACAGAAGTTTTTCACTTCTTTGATTGAGTCAATTCCTAAGGATTTAATTTTTTTGAACCTATAGTGAATGAAATTGTTTTCCTGATTTCTTTCTCAATGGGTTCATTGTTGGTATACAAGGACACTATTGATGAATCCATGTTTTATCTGGGAAGAAAATGAACCAAAGACAGGGTAAGTGATTTGTCAAGTTAAAAAATAGCATACGCCCCTTTAGCGCATGTTCCTCAGGGTCTCTGAATAACATATTCTGTGAGTTGGGTTATTATGAGAAAATGGCAGTTCTGTTAGAACAAAACTTGGCAATGCTGAGTTAAATTGGTGAACCTCACAAGTTAGGAAAACAACACTGCACAATGATTAAGTGTTAAAACAGCCAGGGATAGTGGCACACACCTATAATCCTAGCACTCTGTGGCGCTGAGGCAGAACAGTTGCAAGTTTGAGCCCTGCCTGGGCAACTCAGTGACTTAGTAAGCCCTGTCTCAAATTTTTTTAAAAAAGACTGGGTATATAGCTCAGTGAAAAGGTCCTGGGTTCAATCCTAATTACCACCAAAAAAACAAAAAACTAGAATTCTCCACTGAAACTTGGAGATGGGGGTGCTTTTCAATTAATTATAAGTTCACTTTCCTTACTATAGAACTATTGATATTATTTCATCTTGGTTGAATTTTGGCAGTCCATGATTTTCAAAGAATGGGTTCATTTATTTCTATGAACTTTTTACATATGAACTTATGAATACAACTACAGTTGTCTGTAATATTCTGCTTTTATTCTTTTAATGGCTGCAGGATCTATGGTGATATCCCCTATTTCACTGATGATATTTGTATTTGTGTCTTCTCTCTTACCTTTGTTGATCTTGTTAAAAGTTTGTCAGTTTTATTGAATTTTTTCCTAAGGATGAGGTTCTTGAATTGATTTTTCTCTGCTGTCTTCAATATCATTTATTTTTGTTTTTTATTAGTGCCTTCTATCTACTTGCATGAGTTTATTTTGGTGTTCATTTTCTAGTTTCTTGAAGTAGGAGCTTAGGTTAGTATTTATTTATTTGTGTGGGACAGGG